CCCCAAAACCCCAAAACCCCTGCATGCCAATTAGCAATAAGCAACAAATATTATAATCATTTAAATTTATTTCAAAATGCTTCCATAAAATTAATACACAGAATGCATAAATATTGAGTTTGCACACATGTTTAAGGATTTAATCTGCGATAGCCGCCATTATGTAAATTCTCCAACTAGATTTAAAATGATGGAGAGGCTATAAAATTACAAATAGTAATAAATATAGGAAACCTATGAACTAGGGGTTTAAAAAGGCAAATTACAAGAGAGGTTTTCTAACCAGTTAGAGCAATATCAAAAAGAGATTGATAAAAAGAGAGATCAAATTCTATAGATTGAAGCAAGCACTTCTTCTTTGATCAATGAATTGAAGAAAAAGGTAGTTAAAAATGATCCATGCTATGAAATGAAAAGCCAAATTATAGAATTCTTAATTGATCGTATTAGTAATGTTTAGACTCGGAGAGACTAGAAATCAAAGAATAAATTGAATAAGAATCTTCCAGAATAAATGTTTCCTATGTAAAATCAAAATAACAGTTAACGTATCCCAGCTCAACTTAAGCAAAATAGAGCTATAGAAGAGGAGGAGAAAAAGCAAGATTCATTATCAAATTATATGAATCTATCTCCTTAAAGATCTTATATTCAGAATAACCAACTTTAAAAGCAAAATCATATTATTGAGTCAAATTAAAGAGCTTAAATTAGCCAACAAAAAGATATGATTGAGTAACAACTGCCAAAATAATCCTAGCTAAAGACATAAATAAATTAATAGGCTGAGTAAATTTAAGCTGTCAAAAATAAAATCAGTATCTACCCTGCTTTAAATTCATAGGTAAAAACTTAAACTTAAGAAATGAATAAACAGCAACAAGTTAAAGTTGAATTACCATAATCAAATGCTAAAAATTAAGCGATGTAAAAGCAAAGTAGCAATCCTAGTCAGGGTAAGGGATTAATCTTCAGATAAGATAAAGAATTGCCTTGCTTTTATCTCGGCAACAAATAATCAGCTAAGCTTGATATTTTAATGAAAAAATTTGACAAATTTAGAGTAGAAACATACAAGTATGAAGTGCCTATTCAGTAAATTGCAGAGTCAATGATGTCCTTAGAAGAATCAAGGAATCAGTAATTAGAGAGCCAGACATTCAATAGAGAATTCAAATACAATGATGATGATTTCGAGAATATATCAATGATTGATCATAAAGATCATAAGGATCATAAAGACGATGATGAAAGATATTTAGAAAATATCCTAGGAAAATACGATGATTTAGATAAGTTCAAACCAGTTTCAAACTCATCAGTGACAAAATCTACTGAAGTAAAATCTGTAATGACTAGAGATTAATAGCGCCGTTACGATAAAATGTATGAAACAACAAGGAGATAATAAGATCTAAAGCATTAGATGATAAAAAGTTAATAATCTTAAAAGGCTAATCTACAAAATTAAAATATCATTAGCAACAGAAATAGTAACAATGAATAGAAACGTATCAATCAAAGTTTACTATCTGAATCATTAGAAAGAGCCCTGAAATAGGATAATAATACAACTAAAAACATAGCATAGTAATTTTAGAGTGAATAAATGAAGCCATAAAATAGCTAAATCTCAGGAAGTAGGGTTAAAAAGTAGCAAATTCTATTAAGAGAGCAGGAAACTGAAATTTAAACTTAGAAAATAACAGAGCAAAATGTTAAATAAAATTATAGTGTAGTTTTAAGTGATGATCTTTGCGAGTGCGAAGTTAATTCGAGTATCTACGAAAACTTTGACGATGCTCTTAGTATTTAATCTACTAGCTTTTAAATATAAAATAAGTCCATAGTTAAAGATGTAAATTGGGGAGAAAAATTATTGAATAAAGAAGAAATGAAGTCTGAAGATGAAAATGATGAAGAAATTAATTTATTTCAGGATAAATTGCCACCTTTTGATTGGGGTAAACTTTAATAAGCCTTAACAACATGGGAGATGAGAAAGAGAATTCTATAGATAATACTTGATAATTTAGACAAATTCAAGTATTACAGAAGATTGAAGTTTGAAAAGTCTCCGGGATCAGAATATCTGCAATTTAAGTATGACGATGAATTTATAATAGTTGAAGAGAAAAGACTCAGCAAAAGAGATCTTGGGATGCCTATAGACCAAGATGAGGCCTTGGAATACTTGCAGCTCATTGATTCGTAGGAATGCGACAAATAGAGACTTAAATATATTATATAACCACTTTGATGATAAGATTGTTTAATTTCATAAATTTTTCAGATAAATTTGTTTTAATCAATTGTAATCAAGTATCAGAAAGCTTTCATAAGTCCCTCATTCTCTGATGAATGACCAGTTTTCATAGCGATTCTCAGAAGTTTCTCCAATCATTTCAATATAAGCCTGAATTGGGATCTTCTCTGTTCTTACTATTTTTTTCTTATTAAACTCTGGTTAAACAGTTTTATTTATGACATCATCCCAATTCAATCCAGAGAAGAATGGGTGATCTTTGATCTCCTAAGCACCATTTATATTTGCTCCGAGTCTTTCTAAGGGATTTCTCTTAAGTAATTTCTGAATTAAATCTTAGGCGTTATATGAGAGCATTAGTGGAATTTTAATAGTTCCATTAACAATGTTATTGAACATCTTTTCTTAGTCTCTATCGTAGTAAGGAGGCACTCCAACTAAAAATTCATAAAGTAGCACTCCTACTCCATACCAGTCAAGACTTTTACCATGGGCTTTATGCTTAATGATTTCTGGTGCCGCATAAGCATATGATCCTACGAATGAATTTGAATGGCATTCAGAATCAACATTTTCTTTGGATAACCCAAAATCTGTCAATTTAAGATGCCCATCAGAATCTATAATGATATTATCTGGCTTGAGATCTCTGTATATAATATTCTAAGAATGAAGGTACTCAATTGCAAGAATTACCTCAGCAATATATAATCTAGCCTCATCTTCAGTTAATCTTTTCTTTTTAGTCAGCAGTTTTGACATATCTCCACAGGGACAAAATTCTTATATCAAAAAGAAATATCTCATGGTCTGAAATGCGTAAAAAAGCTTAACAACAAATGGGTGGTCAGCTTTTTGCAAAATCTCTTTTTCAGTTACTGTGTACCTTAGTAGATCTGACTCAATGATTTTCTTTTTGTCAAGCATCTTCATTGCATACCTCTTTCTGGAGTCTATTTCTTCAACTAAGTAAACCTAACCGTAAGATCCCTCTCCTAATTTTGCGATTGGAATAAAGTTATAGATTGTTGTTTTCTATTTTACTTGAGGCTTAGGTGAGTTTTAATCCTATATCTGCTTCTTTAGTTCCTCTCTTAATTTCTCTGTTTCCTTAATTCTTCTTAGATAGTCTTCTTCTAATCTGAGATCTTGATCGATTTCATCTTGGTAACTATGTTCCCCAGAATTTTGCAGAGTATCTTGTTCATTTAAATTAGGACTATTCAAATCTTAAATCAAATTTTCTAAGTTTTAGGACTATTTAGGACCTTTAAAATCTATTTTCTTCAAAGCATCATCAAGTTTAGTTAGTTACTATGCATTTTTTGATTTCGTTCTAATTTTTTCATTGCTTGTGTCTTGAATAAGCAAACCTAGTCTCTCTTCCTCCCTAAAATATCAATTTACAGCAAATGTATCTTACTTTTTGTTAGTCAGTTTCAAACTCTGTTTAGAATAAAGAGACTGCTTTTCTTGAACAGAAATTTCTTTTGAGGTAGGCCTAACCCGATTGCCTTAGCTGCTCGCTCCATCTGATAATTTTCTTAATTTTCTCCTTTCGTATTATTATAGCTCTTATTTTATATTCTATCTCATTTAGAGATCATTCACCTTTTAATTTTGCATGTTAGTTAATTCAAGGTTTGCATTCGATTCCAATATCATTTTCACTAATCTATGGTTGTTAGTTTAAACAGCATAATGCAAAGGGGTATTGAGCTATCCATCCTAGCAATTCACATCAGCATTAAATTCCTAAATCAGTGATTTCACTAGGAGAATATGTTGCTCAATAGCAGCTATATGCAAGGAAGTTTGTCTTAATTCGTTCATTGTAGGCATGTTGATGTTAGCGTCCCCTGATAGTATAAGTAATCTCAAGGCTTCATATTAATTGTATTTACTTGCTGTATGCAGAGCAGATAACCCCTGAGTATCGCAAAAGTGAATATCAGCTATTTTTTCTGGTTTCTTCAGCCTATTAAGCAGTTTCAAAATTTTTTTATTGTTTCCATCCTTCGCTGCTTTAATGAGGTTATTATTTGCTTTGTCCTTTCTATTCCAAAACAGACTCCAGAACTTACTCTGGACGGTTGAAGACCTAGGCAACAGAGTAAATTTCTTGCCAGCTCTTTTATCAAAGAAGGCAGTTGAGTCTATGGAACAAATCTCATCGTCTCTGATATCTCTATATTCTCCCTCATCAACATCGTAGACTCTGTGAAGGTTTTCAGTTAACTGAGAGTCTAAAGTTGAACCAATTGCCTGGTTTTCAAACAATTATTGACTTATGATATTATTTTGATTCTAGTTTAGCCCACCCTGCAATTTTTAATTGACTGTCAGAGAAGAGGGTTGCGCATTAGAATTGTGAATATCAAGGCTAGTCTCGGTGGTTTGATTAATTGCCATATTTTTCTGATTCATAGACTTAGACTAATTAACTGATTTTCTAGCAATTGAAGATGTTATTTTCATTACTATAAATACCTGGTATCAGAGTCAAGCTGTGAAGACGATTTCTCATCAGTTATATCAAAGTTAAATGAACCTTTCTCGAACCTAGTATTATCTCTTTTTCAAGTCTATCCATTTTTCTTTAAATCTTAAAGCAATTAATTACCTATGCAATTTTATCATCAGCAACTGGAGTTTTAAACTTATTGTTTTCTCTAGAGGGAGTTTTCTATAAATTTTAGTTCTAAGATTGTTCCATTGCACTTAATTTATCAAATTATTAAATTCTTAAAATATTAATGTAATTAATATTATTTGGCAATTGGGGTTTTGGGGTTTTGGGG